GTTTTGTCTGAGATGGCAGGTGAAGTCCAGTGGATACATCAGCTGTTGGAGGAATTGAGTGAGGACTGTACCAGTCCAACGGTAGTACATGAGGACTCAAAATCCTGCATTGCGATGTCAGAAGTGGAAAGCCTGAAGTGTAGGACAAAGTACATAGGCGTCAGGTACCAAAATGTGCAGGAGATGGTCCAGAATGGGGATCTGAGTCTGAGGTACTGTCAGAATATTGATGGGATATATAGTGACAGAAAGGTGTACAAATAGTGACGGAAAGGTGTACAAATTGAAGAAAGCTTTATATGGTTTAAAGCAAAGTGCAAGAAGTTGGAATCTTTGCATTCATAAAGAGCTAGTGAAGCTTGGTTACAAATGCAGTGTTGCTGACGCATGTGTTTACACAAAAAGAGATGTGATTTTGGTGATTTATGTTGATGACTTATGTATAGCAGCTAATTCAAAACAAGAGATTCAGACAGTGAGGAAGGAATTGTCAAAGAAATTTAGTGTGAAAGATCTTGGAATTTTAAAGTCTTATCTTGGAATTGATGTTAAATAGACTGAAGATGAAAGTTGTTTGTTAAGCCAACAGAAAAAGATTCAAAGTTTTGATAGAGAAGTGTGGATTGCAGGATGCAAAAACAGTGAAGAGTCCTATGTCAGTTGGTTATATCAATGATGAAGGTAATAGAGAGTTTGAAAATCCAGAGTTATATAGAAGTTTTGTTGGGAGTTTGATGTTTATTGCTTGTAATTCTAGGCCAGACATTTCTTTTGCAGTTGGTATACTTAGCAGAAAAGCAAATTGTCCAAAAGTGGAAGATTAGACTGCAGTGAAACATTTCATGAGATATCTGAAAGGTAACATGGATAGAAAGTTGAAGTTACAAAACAGTCGAGCTGGACCTAAATGTTTTGTTGACAGTTCATTTGCTTCTGAGCTACATGATAGAAAGTCAGTGACAGGATTGTTGATTAAGTTTGGAGAGAGCGCAATTGTTTGGAGAAGTAGAAAGCAGGGATATGTAGCCCAAAGTACAGGAGAAGTGGAGTTTAGAGCCTTATCTGAGTTAGTTAATGAGATTGAATGGATTAGACAATTGTTAAAAGATTTGAATCAAGAGTGTGTTGAGCCATTGTTGATAAATGAAGATTCTCAATCTTACATTGCCATGGCTGAAGCTGAAAATCTGAAGTAAACAAAATACATTGGAGTCAGTTACCAAAATGTCAAAAGGAATTGTGAGTCTACAGTACATAAAATCAAAGCAGAATCAAGCAGACATTTTGACAAAAACATTGAACATTGATAGACACGACCAGATGTCACGTCTACTTGGTATGTCATAAGTATAGGCCTAGCCATCATGCTAAGTTAGTTTTACAACATTATAGTTTAGTGTACAACATACACACATCCATACATTTCAGGAGGGGATTGTCAGAGTATTGATGGGATATATAGTCAATGATGAAATGTAAAGATGTGTGTGTCTGTATTTTTCCATGAGAGAACATGCTTCTAGGCTGAACACAACAACTCAGTCCAGGTGTTCAGAGACAAAACAAAAGGAAACCACAAGATGGAATAGATGGGAAAGTGTTCTTGTTTATACAGTGAGAACAATAATAAAAGTTGTTATGAGAAAGTAGGTCACATGGTAAAAGATGAACAACAAGAGGTTGGGTTAACATACGTCATGTACAGATCAACCAATTAACTTGAGGTTAACACCCAAGAGGTAGAGAAAGGTTGGGCTGAGAAATTATGTATCAGACATAGAAGTCAGTCTGTTCTTAAACTTTCATTAGTATGGATTAAGTTTCTTTATTTTTTGCTGAAGCTATAGCATGACTAACTTTTTCACAATGTAGCATTAAGGATTTGTAGTTTTGTTCCTGTTAGCCACATCTGACTGATGTGATGTTTTATTGGACTTTATAGTTTTTACTCTACATATGTTTTTCTATATTAAAGCCTACTACTTGAAGCTTGGAGATTTTGCTCTGCATGGTGGTGCTTTCTCTGCTGCAAGTTAAACTCTGCTGATTGGATTTATAAACAAATACCAAACCTGCTCCTCCAACATCCAACAGGTACATTGAGTCGGAAGACAATATTACAGATGTTCTCACCAAGGCACTGCCGGTGAAAAGACATGAGGAGATGTTAGTCTGGTTGGGAAGGAATCTATGACACCGGAAGTCCAGGAAGAACATAGTTCAAGAACACAAGTTAAACATAAGTACATACACCTGAACATTTTGGAGGGGATTGTTAAAGAATAGATCCTGGGGGAAATATCCACATGTGGGACAAAGGTGATAAGGTTACCTTGTGTCATGAAGAAGCCCTGCTAAGCCAGTAGTTGGGCTGTGCTGATTCACAGGGGGCTGATGCAACACTAGGAAGAGGGTTGAGTCAGACACCTTCAATTCTGCTATGTCACATCTGTCAGGTGACTGAAATTGGGTGTCAGCCCAGGAGCAGGCTGGACTAAAATTCCAGGAGGGGAATCTGTTTATAAGGGAGGAACTTCATTGTACAGTGGGTTTTGTTGGGGTGTGTGGTGTTATGTGAGTAACTTTGTCAGTCAGAACAAGCTTGTACACAGAGGAACAAAGAGTAAAGTGCCTCCTTGAGAGATATCTGCCTGTTGTCTCATTTTGCCTGCTTTTGGAGGGAGAGAGAGAGTTCTCCAGCCTGCACAGAGCTCTGTATCGCTTCTTTGGTTTCCACCCAGGTGCACAGATTTGTCGTGGTGCAACAATTTTTGTCACAAGCCCCTGAAACTGCTTATTTTTTGCTCTTTTAAAAATATCTTTGCTACCATTTTTAAGATATAACAGACCACTTTTATTGATTCTTAGTAGTGTGGATATTTATTCCAGGTTCAGAAATGCTTGTAAGTGAACAACAACACTTTATTTGAACAACAGTTTAATAATGTTTCACTTATTCAGTTGGTATATGCCCTTGTTTTTGTTAGAATTTATTACACAATTATCTCTCAAGAGAACATCAGATACTCTCCCTTAGGACCCACACCATCCTGAACATCTATTATCTATTCTAGCCACCCAGGCTAAATATATCCTGCAGGATATAAAATCTCAGTAACTCCCTCATGTGGAATTCTATACTGGAACTAGGGGCTTCTGCAGATGGGTGGCACAGAGCTGCCCTGGGAAGCGGCAGTCTGGAGCCATGGCAACCTCACACTGCAGCCCTGATCCTCCCTTTTGCTGTCCCCAAAAGAGTGGCAAAATGCCGCTCCTTTTAGGGGTGGCAAAAGGCTGCCCTAAGAGCCGGTGCCAAGGCTCTTCCTTGCCCTTTCAGAGCAGCATGTTTAAATGCTGCACCAGGAGAGCATCAGGATGGTGTCGGCGTGGGGTTGGGGCAGCCAGCGTGTGGCTGCCCCACCCCAACTCTACCCCCAGGCCGCCCCTTTGGGCCAGTCTGCATAGGCCCTAAGTCTGTCACTAATGGACTGTTCCCCTTACAGTCCCTAACTCTCCCAACTGTCACAAACGGACTTGTTTTTCCACTCCAGCCTTCAACTTGATTGGCTTTCACCAGATCTCTTTCAATTGGCTGTTGCTAGGCTGAACCAACCCTACATTCTCTCCACAAGGAGAAAGGACAGGAATATAGTGATTACTTTTGAACATTTCCATCTTTGTAATAACTTAGCAAGCTTATCTTCTACAGCTCCAGTTAAGTTGCAATTGATTATACATCAGCTGTGGTGACACTGGGAATAATATATTTCAACGGATAAGTCTTTGGATGATATCGAGTGATTGCTGCCTAATGTATGCTGCAATTACTCAAGGCTAGACAGCTTTGAAAAATGATCCCTCAAGCCACATGGATGGGAAGGTCACATTGAGCAATTATTTTGCTTTAGCATAACCTTTCACTGGAATGTGATTACCTGCCACTATAATATATATTGCTGCAAGCAGATTGGTACTTATGAATCCTATGGTGAAACCTATGGCAGCAGGAAAGTGGAGGGACCCAAATACTCAAAAGGAAAAGGAAGGTATGAACATGTGTGATGAAAGTGATTCTTGCTTGCTTTCTTATATCTGTACCCAAGAGTAGTTTGCTGTCACCTTCTGAAGTACTCAGGTCTTATTTTGTGTATAGCCATAGAGGTGGTAAATTTGAACCTCACAGGGAGCCATATACAATCTACATGGAATTTCTAATGTTCTATCATATTTCATAATCATCTGTGCTCCCTCCCTTCCTCCCTTCCTTTCTTTTCTCCTCCTCCTCCTCTTCCTCCTCCTCCTCCTTTCTCACATGAGAGGAATGAACAAACTGATCCCCATAAGCCTTTGTTTCTACTTTATCTTAGGAACACAAGAAGACATCTTATCCATCCTCTTAGAGACAGCAGAGCATGGTGTATGCCATATTAGTATGACTCTGCCTACTAATTTAATTTAGGATTATTTATTTATCTGATTTATATCCCCCCCCCCGCTGGTCACTCAAGGAAGCTAATAATGAAATCAAAATAAAAACAATGTAACATAAAGTTGATTAACTGAAGTTAAAGTATTGTGGTTAATTATCTTATTTTCAGGAAATCTTCCAGTCATTGACCTTAAAACAACAACATATTCTATAATAATGACACTTTCAGCTTTTGCTTCCTCAGAGACATTTTCTCTTGTGTTGCTAAGACTTAGGGCCAGAACAGACTGGCCACAAAAGCTGGCTTCTGGGCAGCTTGGGGGCATGGCATTTAATGCCGCACACTACCACGCCAACTACACAGGGGTGGCTTCCTGCCGGTCTGTTCCAGCTCTTAGTCTGCAGACTTGTGTATATATACATGGCGCTTACTTTTGAGTAAACATGACTAGGGGTGCACTCTTCATTAGTACCCTCATGACTCTAAAGCTTTATCTGATTAGTTAGTGTGGGTCAGTTTTAATTTGCTAGGATGAGAAAAGATTAAGGACAGTTTTTGACCCTGATGAGAACCAGTGTGGTGTAGTGGTTTAAGTGTTGGACTATGACTCTGCAGACCAGGGTTCAAATGCCTGCTTGGCCATGGAAATCCACTGGGTGGCAAAGGCAAACCCCGTCTTGCCAAGAAAACCCCATGATAGGTTCTCTTTAGGGTCACCATGAGTCAGAAATGACTTGAAAGCACACAACAACAACAATAACATTGTAGTACTTGGGAAATTATTAAAGGGAATATTGTAAACAACTTTTCCATCTAAGAATGGCTTATAAATTTGTTCCTTTTCTCCACTTTTCTTCAAATTTGACTTAAAGGGGATAAAGGGACAGGAATATACACTTCAAGAATTAATTTTATCTTTAAAAGCAATTGAAATTCTTCAGTAAACTATAGTTGATGTCCATATATTTAACTCTAGAGCCCTTTGTCTGCTGTCTATTATTCTAGGAAATTGCTTATTCAAAATAAACAGTTCTCAAACCACAAACACTTTACAAGTGTGATTACCTGAGCTTCCATATAATTCTTGTAATATTTGATTCAATTTTCATGTCATTGGACCTTATCCCATGGGGCCAAAAGCAGCAAGAATCCACTAAGAATCAGGCGCTATAGCGCTATACATTCCCGGGTGATCACACGACGTCGCTCAGAATCGGCTAAGAATCAGGCGCTATAGCGCTATAGTTTTCCGGGTGATCACACGACGTCGCTCAGAATCCGCTAAGAATCAGGTGCTATAGCGCTATAGTTTTCTGTGTGATTACACGACGTCGCTCAGAATCCAACAAGAAACCGCTCGGAATGCAGCATCATTCGGGTTCTTTTGAATGTCGGTTTCAGCGGGCATTGCAATAGCGCTAGCTTATCCATAGCGCTATTATAGCGCTAGCGCCATATTTATACTAGCGCTATAGTACTGCAATGATGCTCATATCACTTTCTTGCCACTTTTGAGAGCAGCGTGGGATAAGGTCCATTGACTCTCTTTTTATGACATAAACGTCGCATGTTGTTGACGTTCTCTTCCTTTTTAATTAACAGAATATACAATATGATTTTTCTCTAGACCATAACTTTTGTAGCAACAAAAATCCAAGACTATATTTATGTAATGAACTGTTTTACTCATCTTTGCCTGATTATCATAGGACATTTACAGAGGGCCTTTTTCAGGTGGCTCTGGGCCGCCCCTACTAGCGGTGGATCGGGGCCATGGCAACCCCACGCGATGGCCCCAATTCTCCCTTTTGCCACCCCCAAAAGAGCAGCAAAATGCCACTCCTTTTAGGGGTGGTAAAAGACCCCCATAAGAGCCAGCATCACAGCTCTTCCACGCCCTTTCGGCACAGCGTGTCTGTATGTTGTGCCAGGAGGGCATCCTGACGCTGTGCACCATGCGAACAGGTGTGCAGCATCAGGACGGTGTTGGGGTGAAGTTGGGGTGGCCAGCGTGAAGCTGCCCTGCCCCAACTTCACCCCCAGGGTGGCCCTCTGGGCCAGTCTGCAAAGCCCCCTACTTATGAAAAAGTAGATGTCTTCACACTAGATCACAACATTTTAGAAATCTCTTTCGAACAGTAGAACTGATGACTTCAAAGTTTACACTGTTTTTCTTGTTCTTCTTGAAAATAATTTATGTTACAAAAGCATCCACTCCATCGTTCTCCCAGGCAAGGCAAGTATGTAACTTACAACTCAACATATAATAAATCTGAGACTCGGTATGAACTTGCATACATAGACCTAAAAAACTACAGATGAATAATACACATTCTTGAGGAAATGGAGATGTATGAGTTGGTCCTTTAGATTCAGAAATAAGGTCCTACATTGCTCAAGTAAAATATTGCCAACATATCTGCTGCTTGGTGTACTGCAGAAAATGACCTGATAATATTCATCATTTTATAATGAAGCTGCTTTACTAACCTTCCTATCATCTCTATGGACTAACATCACACATCTGTAAACTCTCCATCAAAAAACGTACAGCACACTGCTCTTGATTTTTGAGTTCTATTCCTAAATGTCTGCACAACAGTGAAAAATCTCAGAGTCCTACCTGTAACTTTCATAGAATCTGGAACTTCAATCAAAATAATGTAAAATATAGGATAGATTCTCAGGGGATTCCCACTTCCCAAATCCTGCTTGCTAAAAAAAAAAAAAAGTTGATATTTTTAAATATTTCAATTTTAAATTTTTAAATATTAAACTATTAATATTTTATTTTTAAAAAAATAAATTTCCTTTTAAAACATCACACCTTATGAAATTTTCACTTTAACCACATAAAACTATGTACATGCACATACATTTAGGCTATGTGTATGACATTGTAATTTAAAGGTATTTTAGTAGTTGTTGGTATCACAACTATTGTCATTGTACTTAGTGATATATAGGAATTATGATTCATGAGTAACATTTGTACAAAAACATTACTAAGGATTGTGTATAGGAGGAGGTCAATGGGTGTGTGTGTGTGACCATCAGTTACCACACCAGGTGATGTCAACCCTAGTGATGCCACTGCATTTATCAAATCTTGGTTAACAGCCTGAGCCCTCTCTTGCTCTGTGTTCCAAGGAACAAACAAGGAAAGAATTTTACTGATGAAAGTGGGAGGAGGTAGAAGCAGGCTTCTTGGGAAGGTCATTGAATGTTAGAAAAGAGCCTGAGACAATTCTGTAGAAAGAATTTCAGAAATAGAATCTCAGGTGGAGTAGAGACACTGATTTCTTCTTTTGTAGATAGTCACATGTGGGTATTAACAAAGCAATCTCTGAAAAGCAGAAAATGACCTGATAATATTCAGCATTTTGTAATAGGGAAGGAACAGGAGGAAATATATATTGAGGGACACACGTGGAAGCTGACAAATGAAGGTCAGGACACCATTTTAATAAGAGGGCACATCCATTAGTGATTAAGCAGCCTATTCCAAAGACACTATGCTTCCTTGGAAGACAGATGGCAATAATGTTTATAGCAGAAATGAGAAAGGGTGGGGCATCTGAACTTTACTTTTCACTGTTAGGAATCAGTTTTCATTTAGATTCATTAAGCAGACTAGTCTAGCAAAAGAAGATGACAAACATATGTTAGAAAAAAACAACTTCCCATTATTTCTCCCCACTGAAAATCTTGTCAGTGTGCCTAGTGGATCCCCACCCTTTTGTGAATCACAGGTGTCTAGCAGACACTTGCACTGATTCATTTAAGTTTGCCAAGACATTTTCCCATTTATGCTGCTTATCACAGCAAACTATTTGATATATTGTATAACCTAGGTTCCTTATAAAAACCTTGGCATGATTTATAAGTGATGGCTTCCTACAGATTAAAAAATGTGTGACAAGAATTAGAGTGACTTGTGACATTAGGGGGAAAATATTGCTTCATGAGAGGGCAGATGGTTTGGCATCTCCATTTGGACCATTGGAGAATAAAGCATCCCCTGCAATAACAAACTGAGGGTATTTTTCAAATAGATTACTGCTCCTGGGCATTCAGAAATAAATTTCAAAGAAGTTGCTGTGTTACTGTCATATCCAAAGGTTATGGATCTGTCATAATAAGGAGGTGTGTTATAAAAATAATTTGATAAAGTGAAATAGTGCTATGGCTAATTAAAGAAAGATTGAAGGAAGGGTGGTAGTAACCAAATGAGAATTTCTGAGAAGCACATGGACTGCTGTGAACCACAGTTTTATGGTCTTCTTTAATTTCCTGAGGTAAAACCCTGATGGTAAACAGAAAACACTTTACTTCCTGGGCTAGATGACATGATAATGAAGATGGAGAAATTGAGGAAAGGAGGAATCTTCAAAAGACTCTTTGATCTGGATCACGGGCTGGGAAGTAAGTATTGGAAAAGGGGAACTCTTAAAAGATAGTTTGGTGGAAAACTCAGATTTGATACTACCATGTCTCTGGCGAACTACTGTCTAGAAATCCAAAATAAAGCATTAGTTTTCTACACTACAATGCTCTCTTGGTTTCTAAGGTCTGAGCCCACTAATTCTGACAGTTAGTCCCCTGCAGCACAAAATGGAGGAAAAAAAGGGGAATAAAAAGTTTCATCTTTAAGACTAAGGGGTTATGCAGATGGTCAGGAAAAGGTGACCTGAAGTTGCCTTTTCTGTAAGCTGCAGCAACTGCCCTGCCTACCCCAAGGATGCCCTAAATGGGGACAGAGCAACTGCACTGGGGAGAGTCATTGCAGCTTTTCTGAGGATGTATTGAAGCCCCAGCAACTACACCACCAGCCCCAAGGATATCCCAAAGGGAGAGAGACAGAGCAACCACATGGGCGGGCAGAGGCTGCTTTAATATTTTTTTTTTCTCAAACACATGCACATCCCTGCACACCTGTGCAGGACCTGTCTTAGGGCCTCTGCAGACAGGCGGCTCTGGGCTGCCCTGGGAAGCGGTGGATCGGGGCTGTAGCAACCCCACATCATGGCCCCAATCCTCCCTTTGGCCGCTCCTTTTAGGGGTGGCAGAAGGCCGCCCTAAGAGTTGGTGTGTGGCTCTTCCTTGCCCTTTTTGGTGCAGTGTGTCAGAACGCTGTGCCAGAAGGGCACCCTGATGCCATATGTGTAGCATCAGGATGGCGTTGGTGTGGGCTTGAGGTGGCCGATGTGTGGCTGCCCCGTCCGAACTCTACCTCCAGTCTCTAGAGGCCCATAGGCTAGTATACAGTCTGTCACTTTCTATGTACAAAGGTGACTGAACTTTGGCATCCCTGCGAACCTGCTTCAGACTTATAGTCTGTCATTTTGTCTGTACAAAAGTGACTGAAGTTCAGAATGCCTGCACACACGCACAGGACCTGTCATACACCCACATATCATACAAGGATTCACTGACC